TCGATGCATTTGTGGATAGTCGTTTTACCTGATATGTTATAAAATTTATCGAATGTTTGCAAGAAACACGGCGAATGTCATGAAGAATTGTGAGCACAAGAAACGTCGAAACTCTTGCGCTTACATCCTTCCACATTTATAGCTCTGCAGACATCCACGAGTACGCTTACGTATTCGATTCTAAATATTTGCATAATTCTTCGGCGCTATAATTAGTACCTTTCGTAAAAATTAACATAATTTTAAAATTTTCGTAATTTTGCCCACGAGTGTAGTTTCAATCAGAGAAGTTTTTTAAATTCTTGGTGGGTTTTTTTTCAGTGTTTTAGCTTGTAGTATTATTTGTGTTTCGCTGCGAATAAAATTTTTACTCCCTTGTAAGAAGTACAGGAAGTATTGTAATCGCGAAAACTTTCAGATTTCAGTTTTCGGGAAATATTCATTTTGACCATTCAAGAATCCATTTGGACTATTGTTTTTTAAGTGATGCCTATAAGCACAGATAGACTACAGAATAAATCCAAAACAGATTATAAAGTTTATTCAAATTGAATTTTTTATGACATCTGTACGTACGTATGTACGCATGCATCTTGCACAACTCAAAAACGATTAGCCGTAGACTATTGAAATTTGTATGCGGGATTGTTATATAATCTTGTCATGCACCTCTCTTTTTATTGCATTATTGCAATCAGCAATACCAAAAGTAAATATAAATATATAGATGTATATCCAGCCTTCTTCTCCGGTTTAAAAGTCCCTACCCGGCCTTTTTATTCGCAATCGTCGGTCGTAGACATATACTGAAACTACAGAAGTGTTTGAAATAAAGAAAATATTCATATTTTGGCAATTTCAAATAAAAAAATTAATTTTGGACAAATAACGATATCTAACTTTTAATGTAGTCTCCCGGTTTCTATGCTTACATTTGGGAATTTTTTTTTCTCGTTATGAAAAGTAATACACAAGTAGCTTGATACCCGTCCGAAAAAAATTGACCGGGATATTTAATTTTAAAATCTTGAATTTTTTATGTCATTTTCAACTTGCCTCGAGGAATCGGTTAATTAAGTTAGAATAATTCGAAGAAATAAGTACAGGAAAAAATTCTGTATAATTTCAATAGGCATACTAGATAATCATGTGGTGTGCACATCAGATTTTTTTTAGTTAATCAAAGGAGTAATACTTTTGATCTACGTAAAAGATGTAAAAATCATTATCGACTGACAATAAATATTTGAAACGGTAAGGTGTTCTTAGCGACAATTTGAAGAAAATCTCGTACATAGCAACAGTATATAGTGAAAAAAGAAGAAGTCCATTACTGAAATCTGTTCGACATTTTTCAGCGGATAAAAGATCTCTGGCTTCCGGTTTCATCAAGCAATAAAGGAAAGGAATGCTTCGAAAGGACAAATTTTACTCAACAGATGTCACTAAAACAAAAGCTGAATATAAATTCAATTATAAATATATTATTGTAATATATTTTAATTCTTGGTCTTTTTGATAATTTTAATGTAGAAAGTACATGAATTTGCTCAACAAAAACACTAAATTGAACAAAATCATGAACTATACATCTAGCATGTCTGCTCATGATATCAATATTGCAGCTGTATCAAATGTCAAGCAGACTTATTGAAATGTTCTCCAGAAAACAAAGTTACACAAATGTACGTAATATAGATGTACCTAATATTTTAATGTTATAACATTCTTATCCAATTGTAATTCATAATAAAACAAGACAGCGTCTTCACTTTTACATTACAGAAATCACATATTTCGACATTCTGAAGCAGTTATCAAGTTTTGTTTTTGTAATTTTTGATAGTTATAAAATTTATCTGTCAGTCAAAGAAATGGCACAGCTTATTTCAGTCTGTTTGTTATATTGTAAGCCAAAGAAAAATATCTCCTACAGATGGAATACTGCTACCTTCTGGAATTTAATTGGTTACGGAAAGTAACTTCGACTGAAATTTCTGCATATAAATTTCGTTTCACAGAAAAGCTTTACTAGTTTATCGGTACTCAGCTTCGCTTCAAAAGTAAGTATTCGACTTTTCTGCATTCCTCGTTCAACATTTATCCAGGTAAGCAAATATCAGAGTGCTTCTTGCATAGTATTTTTAAGATTATTTTTTTTAAGTTTATGCATTGGAAATAATAACTACTGTTTTGTTAGTTCAATAATTGTTCATCCATCGGAAATAACAAGAACAATTTTCTTAGTTCAAGTAAAGAAAATTTAATAATTTAGCTCTGATTAATTTCTGTGAAATGAAATTAATCTTCGAAAATAATTATGACTAGGAATTAAGTAAATTACAAATGTGCATCAAGAAGAAATATGATCTGTTTTGTTTTTCAAACCATACATAAGATATAAATATCATTATTAAATGAAGTCTTTATCTCTTTATAACTCTTTTAATTTTAATTTTTACGATTATCTTAGATTCACCATCAAAATCTTAAACGGTTTCACAGCTGTGAATTTAATGAAATTAGTTCTTATCGTATTTGTTTTCCTCGCGTAAGGTTAAATTTCAATTGTATTATTTCATGATCAGGTATACAGCATACTTAATAACAACCTCTTTATATTTAAAAATGCAACTCAAATACTTACGGCTTTTTTGTACCGACGGTAAATTAACTTGGACCCATAATACATGAAACAACATAAATAATATTACTTAGTAGCTCAAAGTTTAGCAATAATTCTCTCAGTTAAACAAATATCAATATTAGTACAGAATATAGGTGCATTCAGTTTGAACAATTTTTAACATAAACAATGAATACACATTATATTGAATTTATAGATAAAGAATAATCTCGTCTTCTTTTAGATGAACAAGTTTTGGGTATTAGCTGTAGTAAGCGCTTCAAAATACATTTCTTCTCTTGAGTGCATACTTATATTTAGTCAGAATAAAAGAAAAATGATTTGAAACAATTACTATATTACAATTTCGTCATCTGAACTTATTAAACACACAAGGGACAACTGTCAGTCAAAGAAATGACGTAGTATATTTCAATTCATTACTTAGACATTAATCAAAGAAAATTTGTTACAGATCATCATTTCTCAAATTTTATTCATGGCAAAGGGATAGTTTTTGCATCTAAATCTCGATTCATAGAAAACGTTTAATTTACATGTCAAATTTGTTTCCAATTGATGTACTGGAGGCATTTTTATTCATATATATTTTTAATACCTATACTTAGTAATAAAACTTACACAGTTGCATGTAAAAAAGTACTTTTTAGATTTTTATAAGTTTATGCATCGGAAATAAGAGCAACAGTTTTGTTAATTCAATAAAAGAAATGAAATAATTTAAATTTGATTTACGTGCATGAAAAAGAAATTTATGTTCTAAATTAATTAAAGAAAACAATGAAATAAATTATAAATCTGCAACATGAACATATATGATCCAGTATTTTGGATGAAAAAATAGAAGTAAAATTTAATTACTGATGTCAATTACTGATGTTTCACCTCCTTATAACTGATTTAAAGTTTTTACTTATTAATCCCTTAAATTAACCCGCAAAGTTTTGGAATATTTGAAGAAATTTAATTAAATGCAAATAATTCTTATCGTATTTGCCAGCGACAGCCAAACTTCATGTCAGTAACAGCCGCATGTTGGAATTCAGGTTAGTTCGAGTGACGCAACTAGGTTTTTCAAAAGCCACAAGCCTATATTTACACCATTTTAAAATTAATGAAACAGGTTTAAAATTGAAAGAAACGTCTAATAATTTTTATAAGAAAATAAATAAATTAATAAGTTTCTTTTGTATAATGATTAATTTCAGTTTACCATACTTTAATATATATTTTATTTGCATAAGAGCCGCCCCACTGGTCTGCGAGAGCCGCGCGATGGCCACCGCTAGTATATATTTTTCTGAAGGAGAGTTTAAGTTAATTTACAATCTTTCAGGATCATATGATACACGATGATAATCTCTTTATAATCGAAAAATGCATCTAAAAATATTTAAGGTTTTCGAATGCTGACAGTGAATTATGTAGGACACATGCTCCATAATTATACACAAATAAAGTTATTTAGTTGGTAAACATTTATTAATAATTTTCTCAATTAAACTAATATAAGAAGGATTCGAAAATATGCGAGCATTTGAAAACATTTAACATGAATGACAAATGCACAACAGCATTCCGAATTTACAGATGATGAATAACTTCGTTTTCTTTCAGATGAATATAGTTTGGGTGTTAGTTGTGGCAGGTGCTGTTGCTTTGGTCTCTTGTGATGATGCTCCTAAGGACCCAGAACTAGAAGGTAATTTAGCATGATATGCAGCTTTTTAATAATACTGGATGATATTTTAATATTTTTTTAAATATTTGCGCTTTAATCTAAAGCACATTCAAATGCAGAATGTTTGGAGATTTTCAGAATTTCCCAGAACTGGGGCAAATCAGATGTCGTTCAGACTTTCAACTGGTAAACTTAACGGAACGTGCGTAAAATAAATCTTGTTGAGAGTCTTTAACAATTCAATAACTTCTCTGATACTTCTCAGATTATCTTTATAATTTTCCCATTCATTTGATCAAAGCAAAGTATACCAGGATAATCTGCATACGGAGAGCGATCAGTATATCAAAAGCTTAATTATTGTAATTATGTTGTACATTTACGTTGTCGCATTGTATTTACATTATACAACACAAGTGAACAAACACGGAAACGTCATGTAACCTGTCGGTCAGGCCTTCTTTTTACCTCTACCAAGAACATATTACATGTATAAGTTTTTAAACTTATTTTCTCAGTCTTTTTGATGGTACAGCTTAGCAAATGCAGCGAAATTTACTCCTGTTGAGAATTATTATGAAATATCTTTTGTGACATATTCCACATGATTTTGAGTCAATTATAGAGCTTACAGTTATTACAAGAAATTTATTACTGCAATGCAGTGCACTAATTTGGAATGGATAAAGCAAAATAGTAGACTTAATAGAAAATTTAAAAAAAAAAAAAAAAAAAAAAGAATATTTTAGTGAATTTGATATCCTAATTAATTAAGAGATCTTGCTTGATAGTCTAGCAATGTAAATTGCAATTTTCGTTCAATAAGTTCATTTGAACTATTCGCGCATACATTTTACCTTGTTAACCTAAATAAGAAGTTTCCAAATCATATGTTGGGAAAAAAAAAAAAAAAAAAAAAAAAAACTGGCGGAGGAATCACTCTAAAATTAGAAATATGAGAGTAAATCCGATATAAGTCTGAACACAGAAATACAAAGTTCAATAATTAATATTAAACTTGTATAGATCGGGAAAACTGTTATAAGATCTTCTCTTGTGTACCGATCCGAAGAAGCTTCTTGTTTCTTCTAAAAGGAAAAGAAGTGCTACTTAACCTTACTTGAGAAAAATGATTTAATCAATGAAACCAAATTTTATCCTCCTGAGTATCTCAATGCTTTTGATCTGCTCATGCAAAAATGCATTTAAATAGCATTCCTTAGCTAAATTTGCATAATTACTTATTCCAGTCAAATTAAAATTGGTTGTTCTAGAGAAAAATCAATACATTTTAAAGGTAATTAAATGAAATTCTAAAGCAAACAAAAGAAAATCTATCTTTTATGTAATACTCTATGCGATGTTCATAGAATCAGTCTTTTTTCTTGATAAATATGTAAAATATATATTGAAGCTAAATACAAATGTACTGTATATGACCAGTTATTCTGGACTTCATTCTCCGTAAAATCATCTAGGCAACTTATTTATTTTCACTCACTATAATTCAAAACATTTCCATTTTCTAATGATAACAAAGAAGTATAACTTTCTTAAATGCACTATCAAATTAGTATTATTTATTAATTTAGAAATATTAATTTATATTCACTATATTTATATAGATACATAAATAAAGATATTATTTACGTATAAAAGAAGTTATCGGATGTCAGTTGAATGGATGATATCTATAACCTATTACAACCATGAGAATCGTTAAAACACAAGCAGATAAATTTCAAATCTCATAAAATAATATACGTATAAATAAATAAAATTGGGTATATATATATAAGCATAAAGTATCTAAAGTTAAAAGTAAATTGGAGTCAAAGCAAGGTAATTCCTCAATATTAATAATTGCATCCTTGTATAAGAGGTTTAACACAATATCTAAATAATTCAAAATTAAAAAAAGTATTAGTAGTACAAACTCGAAAACTAAAAATGCAAAAGGGAAAAAATATACAAGATAATAAAATACAAAAATTAATCTCCTTTGCTGAAACTCTAATTCAGAACTCATCAGAGGAAAATGAATTAAAGCTTCACAAAAGTTGATTAATATGCAGCTAGAGTGCAGGACCTGCGCATATCCTGCAGCTATAGGGCAGAACGTGGAGGACTTATAATATAATCCTGCAGTTATAGCGCAGTACTGGTATAAAAATTTTTCTTTTAATTTTTGCCTCTTATTAAGTTTTTTATGTAAATTACTGTAATATAGCAATTCTAATGTTTTATGCATTAAGTCACTGTTCTATTTTAAGACTAACCAGGTGCATCGGCAACACTCTGACATTAATAGTTTGACTTGCATTTATTTACTGAAGAAGGGGCTGGCTGCATGGGTGTTTTCGTGTTTTGTTTCTATGTTTAAACATGAATATAGGCTAGTTCTCTTAGTAGGTCCTTCACGATGGCATTCCATCTCTTAAGCTGCGTTCAAACGGTGGCATAAAGTGCATAGAGGCTTAGTCATAAGGGCATAAAATACGGGAGTTCCGTTCACACCTGCGAGACGGGTTTAAGTTGTGGGCAATGAGAGAAGCTGAATTTGCGCATGCGTGGATGTGTCTATACCTTTCGCGCGCTGTTTTCATGCTCGACTAATTTCCCGCGTCCGCTCTGCTTGTTTTCGTTATTTTGTGTCATGGCCTTTTTCAGCTCAACACAGCGTTTTACTGGCTCAACATAATGCTTTTTATCTACCCTTCTTATTAGCCAAGAGGCAACGGAAGAAGGTAAAAAAAAAAAAGAAAAAGAACGAAATGGTCTAGATATATGTTTCTGGAAAGACCAATACTGGTTGGCACATATTTCTGTGCAAAGCAGTATGGAATATTTCTGCATTGCAGTGTAGTACTCTCCATACTATAAGCATGCACATGCATATTTATATATATAAAATCTTTTTCAACTTCTATATGTAATTTCTCTTAGGAGTCTTTCTCTCTCTCTCTAATATTCTAAATATACCTAATTAAAAAATTATTGAGGATAAGCGACAGATAGCTTGTATATAATATTTTTCTATTTTGCAGGTGTGAAAGCATTTAAGAGAAAAACAGTACTTACCATACATTCATATTCTTTTTTTAAATTTTCAATCAAAAGGAACATGTTTCTGTGCTTAACACTCCTTACTGACTGTCACTGTCGATCACTACAGTAGTTAGCTGCACTATCAGTATCAATTATTACTAATACAAGTATCCCACAACCGGTCAACATAACCAGCAACCACAACGAAACCTGTACAACACTATCAAACGTTCACCCAACAATGTATTTTATGTTCAATCATTAAATACATTTTGCTGTGTTGCCACCTGTTTGTATGCATCTATTTCTAATCATTTGCATGTATAAGCCGCAACCCTGAATTTCATATGCTTTTTCTGAAAAAAAAAAAAGGAGGGGGTTACACGCGAGAGAATACAGTACAAAGTAAATACTAACTTTCAGGAATTTTTGTGAATAATTCTGCAAACTGGTATGTTTATATCACATGAGTGATTCAAATTAAACTCTGCTCTGCTTTGAAATGTCATAGATGTAAGTTTCCTCCACGTCTATTGTCAGAAGTAATTGCTTTTAATGATTTTTCATTTGCTGACAGATTATGACAATTCTTCGCTCACTGGTAGACATGCATATTAAAGCACCAAAAAGAGTTTAATTTCAACATATGGTGTTATTTCTATTTACGACCAGTATCTCAAATTAATTTCACATTGACAAATTTTAGGTACCCAAGTCTTCAAATACGACAAAATTATAAACATTCATACCTTATTCAGTAATTTCTACCAGAGAAATAGCATGAATTTAATGATAAAATTTCCATTCAAATGGTATTAATAAAGACTGGATAATAATAACTAATACTATTCATTAAATTATAGTCTATGTTATGAATTATGTGAGCTATTCAGTTTCATTAAAAGTCAATTCCTTTCATGGAGAACGTAATTAAAAAATAGAGATCAACAGGAGAGAAAACTGTCTAGACTGTTGACTGTTGTTTTAAGGATATTTCACTGCATTTTTTCCTTCTTGGACTTCATAAGAGCATTTTCTCAAAAGATTATTTTTTTATTACTTATACAAAGTTTACACCGTTCAATTGATTATTGTGACTATTCTGAAATAAGTGAAAATTATTTTAAGTAATATTTTTATTGTCCCCCCAAAACACAGCAAATTCTTGATATTGATTTGATGTTTTAATACAATGAATTCATGAAGCTTGTTTAGAAAGAAAATCAGCATTTGAAGCAAATAGCAATACAATATTTCTAGCTTTTTCAATAAAGTTATTCTTAAATGCAAAAATAATTAACGGGAAGAAAATGATAGTAATAATTTATAAAAATACAATAAACAGAAAGAAATTAATAATAATAATTTACACAGAAAAATATGATTTTTTGCAAGAATGCCTTTTTTAAAGAATTTTCATAATAAAATGAAAAATAATGGATGGGATGAATCATCTACAGGATCATATACAGCGGGAATGATCCTGAGCTTAACTTTTGCTTTACGAGTTTCATCCATATTTTTTAATTTATTGTGCAAATTCATTAAAAAATGCATGTCATCATCGTAGATTTCTTGTGAGATCAACTCATTATTTCATTCGGATACGATTACAACTTATTCGGATACAATGTGTTCCATATTAAAGAAAAAAAAAAAAAAAATCGCCTTCGATGTGACAGCGAAATCGTCCACAGAAAGCCGCTTCGTTTTAGCTTCGCTGCGATTGCTCAACGCTTATCCCAAACTCGACGTAAAGTTAAAAACTTGAAACCTTATGCCGCGAGCCCTAAACCGTCATCATCGAGATAGATAAGGCCTGCGCTCTGAATCGAAACTGGCTTGTGGTGCGTAGACTTGGGGGTAAAGCGCATAGAGGCATAGTCATAAGGGCATAAAATACGGGAGACCCGTTCACACCTGCGAGAACGAGATGTAAGCTATGGCCAATGAGAGAAGCTAAATTTGAGGAT